AGGACCTCAGGGGCCACACACCTTGGTGAAGGCATCGTAGAACCGCGTGTGAGGGGATGTACAGGAGAAAAGGAAGTGTTAGGAGGGGAGCGGGGCAGGGTAGGGGGGGAAAGGCAGGCAGGGGCGGGGCAAAGGTCCATACCGTCATTAAGCCAACGTCCCCGAACTCCTCCGCCATGTCTCGGTATTTTTGGTTCGAGAGAGCCTTGATGGGCGACGTGTAGATGACCCTCTGTTTCTTCTGCAAAGACATGGCGATGGCGTACTCGGCGGTGACGGTCTTTCCCGCGGACGTGTGGGCCGCGACTAAGACCGATTCTCCTTTTTCGATGAAACCGATGGCCGCCTGTTGGAATGGGTCCAACGCAAAAGCGTACTCCTTGGCGGGGCGGGCTGGGGGGGTGAATTCCGAGGGTGTGTAGTCTGCAGGGAGGGCAGAGAAAGAGATGACTCGACGTCCGTCCGGCGTGATGATCTCTTGGTGCTGCGTGATAGTAGGCTCTTGGCCCTTGTCCAAAGCCGTCCCCTCCGAATTTCGGGACCGTTTGCTTGGCCCGGCGCCGAGTTCTTCTTCAACGTCACCATTGTTGTCCTCCACTTCGCCTCCTGCCGCCTTCACGCCGTTTGTTAAGCCTTTGCGTTTCGCATCAGCTTTGGCTGGGGTGAGACCCGGCGCGGCAATGGGGGCTACAGTCTCCGCCACGTCCTCCCCGTCAAAGGCCCCAAAGAGGTCGTTCAGCTCGCCACCATCCATCGAAAGCGAAGATATTGCTCCGTGGGGCTGGATGATGGGCATGGCAGGAGAGGGATGAGAGGCATGAGACAAGGAGCAACACATAGGGTTCAAGTATGGGAGGCTTCGGGTACTCAAGATTTCAACGCGGGCCTTGAGGGTCCCGTGAGAAATATCGAATGCATGTCCAACATTTCGCAGCGCATGCTGAAGGGAGTGAATGAATTGCATGACAGGCTTCGCAAGACCCAGAAAAGGACGTAAGGGCTAGGGAGATAAAAAGGGATGGCGGGGCGGCTCGATACGAGGAAGAAAGTAGCCAGCGAGAGACCTGACTACCTCCCCGAAAAGGGAAAAAAGAGAAGGCAGTGCATTACATGTTCATCCCTGCCGTCCAATGTACCATGCGGGCCTTCTAAACTCGATAGATTCCATGCGTGCATGGCGAGGGCTGCCATTTTGGCTTACTGCTATTTTTCCCTGTTTGTCCACAGGAGTCATCCCAGTGCTTAGTCACTCCGGCGCCTGAAGGCAGCAAGAGGCGCCAAAGCATGTCCTTTTTGGTCAATACGCTCCTCGCACTATGCTTTCTTTTCATCAGCACATTTGCCTTCGTTCCTTCGACCCCTGTTTCTTTCGGGTTCATCGACCGGATGACTCCGCACAAAGCCAGGACGACCGCGCTGTCTGCTGTCAAGGAGCGTACCGCCGCCTCTGGCAAACAAGAGCAGGCACAGGAGCGCGTGGGGATCTCTGAGGACGATCCAATGGTGCAACGCATTCGCGAAGATGTGCGCCGCGAGACCGGTGTGGACCTTGATCAGCTTTTAAATCCCTCCAAAGTTGTCAACTTGGAGTTCGAGCTCATCAACCTCCGCAACGAGCGTGCCGCCGCCACGCAAGGGGGAGGAAAAGCCTTGGCCAAGCTCGAGGCGCAAATAGAGAAGAAAGAGACGCAGTTGGCGACCGAAAAAAGGTTGGTCATGCGTGGATGGCTGAAGAATCTCTTTTTGGGTCAGTCCCTCCTGGCGGTGGTGTTGTCGGGGGTGGTTGCCTATGACGCCCTCCCCGGCTTCGAGCACTTGCCTCTACCGATCCGTGCCTTTGCCTTCTGGAGCTTTTGGATGTTCACCATCCCGTCCCTCCGGGCCCGGCGTCCCGGGGCCGTGGAGAAGAAGGCATTGGATGTGGCTTTCTTGCTGACGCCGGTGGTAAGCCTCGGCATGCCCTTCCTCACGCAAGACGTGCCGACCATATGGTGGGCGAACGCCGTGGCGACAGGGGTCAGCTATGGCTACGCCTTTGCCTTCCAGGGGAAGGGCGAAAGGGGCGAGGGGGAGGATGGAGGAAGCGAGGAGGATGAGACCTTGCCAGGGCCGTTGAAGGCGGCGTTGAAGGCCCTGGATTGGGGATCCGGGCGGGAGCGGGGCGTGCGAAAGTGAAGTGATTCGAAGAGGGCTACGGTGTGTGGCGAGGGGTCAGGGAGGGCGTCGAAGAGGGAGCTGCCGGTGAGTGAGGGGGACAGGTGTGAGTTAGGACGTTCTATAAAGAAATGAGAAAGAACACTTTGTATCCTTGGGGACGCCATCCGTGAAGGCCTTTTTTTTCACACGATGCGATCCATTCTCGGGCAGCCTAGGCTTTGATTTAGACATAAGAAGCATTGAAGGGCGGAACAAGCGTAGGTTGTTTACATGCCCACCTCCCCCTGTACCACATGCCCTGCTTGGCGCCCGTCCTGCTCGTGGTCTGTCCGGCCCCTGCCCTCCAGTGGGGCTTTCGGGGTCAACCGGGCGTCATTAAAGCGGAGATAGGCGGGGGAGGAATGAGGGGGGAAGAGGTAGAAGAACGGTACTAGTGCTGGCGGTTGGGAGCCACGATAGCGAAATAGAGAATGAGGATGATGGTAGCGCTGATCACAAAGACAGGCACGATGTTCCTGGCGTATCAAATGAACTCCTCCCTGAAAATTAGCAGGGCAACGATGATTATGGGAGAAAGGAGCTACGTTAATAACAGCAGAGCTGCCCAACATGTATCCATTCCGTACGGTCCACCACGCGCACACTTACACAAAGCAAGCCCAGGAGCATTCGGTTTCTTCCTGTGCATAATATGGTAGTGATGGAGGCCCTCGTCTATGCGTCGCGGGGAGGGGGGGTTCTGGGGAGGCTGCTGCACCTGTGCGGGGCCTGTCGCCTGCCCCACCGCTCTGATGCTGCATGGCGACTGTTCGGCGGTATTGTCAGCCTAGTGAACGCTGGCATGTAATGGTGAGCTGAGACATCTACTTAATTCATTTAGGGGAGATGAGAAGGGGCCTACGAGTAATTTTTCCATTACACCGCCCGACTCCCCCCTCTTCCTTCCTTCCCAAGGGAGAAGCTTAACAAAAGCAGCGGCCATGCCCGCATATATTGGCACGCCTTCTTCAAATGTCAAGCTCACCCACCCTGCGATAGGCGAAAACAGAAAGCGAGTGCTTGTGCAAGGACATGAACACGTCCTTGATGACCAGTCGGCGCCTTCGCTACTCGCATGCCCATGCGACTTGACGCCCCGTGGGAACGTACGCCCCAACTCTCCCATGTCTTGCTTTCCCAATTATGAACCGGGTTTCAAATGGAGTCCAAATCTGTCATTACCCCGTATTCGATTACCAAGAGCTTGGGTATTGCGTGATGGGCCCATATGATCAAGGACACGTGTTTGTGTAGGAAGACGCCTTGGATTGGGGACCTCAGAGACTTGTCTGTACTACTCAATGCTGC